GATCCTGCCTTTAATATTACGAATAAGAATTTAGAACTTAAAATGGTTATTCTAGGTATAGAGCAAATCCATCCCCCTCTGGAAAAGACTCTCTCCTCCCCACTACAAATGAAACTAAATTTCTCCTTTTGGTCTTAACTCCCATTACACAAGTATTTTAAGGTATTAGTTTAGAAACAAAATGGTTTTGGCTATTCTAGTGAGTTTAATGTGCAGAGATTATCTGTTTCCAATCGGAAATACCAGGCTTTAAGAGAGATGTAAACACAAGATGCCTCACTGTAAGAGTAACACTTTTTCTTTGGGGCATTCAGAAGTAATAACCAGTGTGCCGTTGATTTCATTTGAATTAGTGGGCTTTTTTTTTTTTTTTTTAAGAAAAAGTATGCTTCCTTTATAAGGACATTTACTTTAAAAAAATTCTGTTGCAAAGATCTTGCTAGACATTCTATTTATGCACCCCCCCCAAAAAAAAAAGGCAGAGCCCCAGAAATGTTATATGAGTACATTTTTCATTTTCTGAAAATACTAGGATTCCAGAGGTTAGGACAGAATTGCTTGTGAATAAATTCAAGTAGTCAAAAATTGTCCAGAGCTTTATAATAAAGACATCCCATCCATTAAAAATGCTAATGATGTTACCAAAAAATATACATTCTCTGAAAGAGCTTTTTAACTAGTTGAATCATCAATTTCAGGGTACTTAATTTTTTGTTTCCTTATAAAATAATATTAAATTTGTTCCTCTGATGTTAGGTCTTTCTTTTATGTTCAGATCCCAAAAGTACAAAGACCAGGTTACTTTAAACCTGAAATTTAAACATTAAATAGCATTATAACTTGTATTTCAATAAATAATGGGCTTGTCTACCACAAAAGAGTTAGTTTTTATTCTCTGTTGAACATTTACAGATGTGGGCACTTGGAATAGGAAATCATCACTGCAATGACAATAAATACATGTGTTTACCACTTGGCTTTTTGTACAATTTGTACTGACTAGATAGGGTAAAGTAAAAACATGGCTGGAGGCTGAGGCAGGAGAACTGCTTGAACCTGGGAGGTAGAGGTTGCAGTTAGCCTCCCAGGTTCACATCGTGCCCCTGCATTCCAACCTGGGCCACAAGAGCTAAACTCCGTCTCAGAAGAAAACAAAACAAAAAAAAAGCATGGTTGGGCATGGTGGCTCAGCCTGTAATCCCAGCACTTTGGAAAGCCGAAGTAGGCAGGTCGCTTGAAGTGAGGAGTTCAAGATCAGCCTGGTCAACGTGGCGAAACCCTGTCACTACTAAAAACACAGAAATTAGCTGAGCGTGGTGGCAGGCAACTGTAGTCCCAGCTACTTGGGAGGCTAAGGCAGGAGAACCACTTGAACCTGGGAGGTGGAGATTGCACTGAGCTGAGACTGCACCCCTGCACTCCAGCCTGGGCAACAGAGCAACACTTGATCTCTAAATAAATAGATAAATAATAATAAATCACATGACTATTTAAGATATCTCAAACTCCAGATGAACACAGACCTTGATTCAAATGAAAATATATATACAGCTGAATGTTCATTAGGTTCAAGAGCTCTGTTTTGTTGCACTGAAGGAAATTTCATAGAAGATGAAAGGAATGATGAGAACAAAGGCCATGGCCTCCCATCTTGCATAAACACACCATTAGAAGAAAGGGATCCTTACTGAGTGCCTACTATGAGGGGTACAGGAAGGAAAAAGTCAACAGGAAAGGAAGGAGAACCAGAATATTCTGCTCTGTAGGCATTCTGAATCATGGAAGCTTTATTTTAATCAAAATATACTGAAGTGCAAACCCCTGAGAGGCGTGGACTTTGTTGTTCTAGTCTCTGTGTCCCCAGTACTGCAAACAGGGTCTGGTACAAAACACATCCTTAAAGTTTGATTAACTATTGGTGATGGAATGAATGACCAAAATCAGTAAGCCTCTATAGTGTTTTAGAAGAGGATCAGAAACCACGGCTTTTCATGAACACCTTCACCAGAATTATTTTTGCACACGGGGCTCTTATTGCTTCTTCTCTTCTCTAAAAAGCTATTATTAATTTGTAGAAAGTTTGCTCCTCCTAAAAAAGACTCTTAAGCACCCTACAAACTTGGTTGAACCTTAACACGATGTTCAAGGATTATTTCAAAGAGCTGCGCTCTATCAGCAAAGAAGCATATTCCATTCTTAGCGTGTTGAAAAGGAGTATGGAAAATCAGAAACAGAAAAGTTGCTAAAAACAGGGCCTCTGTTAAGAGACTAGGAGAGGCTCCAGCAGACTTCATGAGCCCCAGTTCTGGGGGTGATCGGACAAAGGGGATTTTGGGAGTTGTGAGGAGGAGCGGAGAGAGCGGTTGGCAGTGTGAGGGGCTGTTTTGGTGTTGCTGGGCCAGGGAACAAGGTGGACAGGGCTGGGCATCCAGTCCTGAGATCCTGAAGTAACAGTGGGTGGGTCTCAGGGCACAGCACCTTGTTGGGAGGGGTCAGAGAACTGCTCAAATGTGGGACACAGAGGATTCCCCAAGTAAGCTGGTCACAGTGTGCCTAAGGCCCTCTCTCAAGAATCCAGGTGGCTCTGCGCCTCCAGGCCTGCGACGGAATCGAGAGGCACAATGCAATCACTCTGTCAGAAGTCTAGAAGCGATGAGTGGGAATGGAAAATTGCAGCAATTCCAAATGATGGAAAGCGTGTTTTAAACTCCCTGTTTCACACTGCCGAGGAAAACTGTGATGATCCCTAAATCAAAGCCTGCCAGAGCAGGTGGACACCATGAGAGGACAGGAAGGACACAAAATGCATGACCAACAATCACTTTCAGGGTCAAGACACCAAAGCCTGGATGAGCATAAGATGCAAACTACTGTGGTTTTGTATTTTCCAAAGACCAAGCCGTCGGTGCCTGCAGAGGCCCAGAGAACCAGTCTGGAGGCAACTCCATCGGCTCCATTTTAATTGACGCTTTCCTATTCCTAAAGAGGGCCCATGTTAGCAAACAGATCGCACGAAGATGAGGCAGCTTGTAGACAAGAGGTCAATAGAAAGCAGTCTTCAATGGCTTCCCAATCCACCCATTTGTCTTTTAATTGCCCCAAGTAACTTCAACCAAGTCAAAACCCAGTGATCTTAAAAAGGTTTCTACGGAAGCCACATCTGCCACTGCTATTGGTTTGGAAATGCAAAAACGCCCGGGTTCACATTCTCAAAAACACTAAGCTTAATATTAAAGTCCTCATAATTGCTTTCCAATTTTAAAATAAACATTATAAATGCAAAAAGAATGTTACCGGACAAAAAAGAAAGGTCATGTTACTACTAATAGTTAATATATTTATGTCAGTATTGAAATATACTTTGCCTATTTCTCGCAAGTCAAAGTGTTAACTAATTGAACAACCATCACACATTTAAGCACCTTTATCATTGATATTAGTTTCCAAAAGCTTTATAAAAAAGTGTATTTTGCATGGATACTTGGAAATAATTTTATAATTTACAAACGTATCAAAAACATATATATGTAATATATAAGCATTAATATACAAATTTGTGAATTAAAACAGAGAAAAGGTTAGTAAAAGTTTCCAGAAAAAGAATATAAAATGTCTAGCTTTTTCACTTTTCTGTGAGAATACTCTATTAAAGGAGTTCAATAAATGTATCCGTTCACTTGATGGAAGAATGTTTTTCAGGATAGCTTTTTCATTATTTCACAAGAGCAATCTTTAGAAGTAGTGACAGGTTCTATCATATCTCCTAAATGATGTCCCCCACACTTTAAATCTATCAACGTTTAGTGCTTTCCTCAAAAATCACTCTGATGTCTTTGAAATCCATTCAGAATAGGGAGTGGTGACTTTAAGGGAGGCTATGCTAAAGTCAATGAAACGGTACTTTAAGAAGCTTTAGAGTTATATTTGAGAAAAGCCACAACCCCTAATTTTAAATTTTCTTCAGGAAAAATATGACTTCTGATAAAACTGTTATCATCGGTATCTGTAAATTCAGATTTAATTACCAACTTTTGAAAAGGAAGAACCATGATCTGTAGTGCACGTTAACAGTGAGGTAGTGAAGGGACCCCTCCCTCCCAGTCCCATCACTGATTCACTGTCTCATGAAGAGTCACACAATGGTGCTGAATTGATTATCGGCCTGGCGATGCAACCTTGCGAGATCTCTGGCAGCTGCATGTCTCTTGGGAGTTTTACAGTTATCACAGGTGGGGAGAGCCCTACCCCAGGAAGAGATTGAAGTGTATTATTACCAAGTTACAGGAAGAAAAGTTACCAACACTATTCTCAATACTTGAAGCTGTTCTACTCAGCTGTCCCCAAACTCTAATGTATCAGAAAACCGATGAGCTTTGGGAAGAAGTGGTGGTTTTATCTAGGCATGATAAAGTAGTAATAATAAAAGGGGGTGGGTGTGGTTGAGCGTAACCATGCCCTGAGTGGGCATTGGCACAGGCTGGGGCCACGGAGTCATCTTTCTGTTGTGCCTTAGTGCAGTTGCAGGTGCTCCAAGACATGGCCTGAGCCTGGGTTCGTTCTGGACAGGATGGGATGGAGGAGGGACCATGTACGAAAAATCTCCCTGGCTCTTCCCAAGCCACTTTTGGAAGCGATGGAGGGACAGCTGGGCAATAAATACCTGGAACATCAAAACAGGACAGGCTGTCCTGAAATCGTTTGCAACCCTACAATGTTACAGTAAACAAAATGGCAAAAATCAATCCTGCTGCTGCTTCTGCTCTTGGTCTCAGCACACAATAGGATAGGCCAGTGTGAACAGCAGTGTCAGAGCTTTGCATTATGGGAAAAGCGATGGTGCAGACATACATCTCTAAAGAGAGTTCATGGATCCTCTGGCCCACATCCCCTCAGAGTGATACACTCACATAGATGGATTCTTTCCCATAGGTTAAGACACTGCTCAACAGGACGAAAACATGAAGAAGGTGGAAAATTAAGAGGGCGAATGGAATGCTTACTTTCTCTAAATGCTTTACAGTAGCCAAGGAAAGATAACAAGAAGAACAGGGCACACAGGAGGTCTGCACGGCCGACAACACCAGCAACCTTAAAAGAGGGGAAGAAAACAAAGAATTACATCAAACACATTTAAGCAAATCCTAAACTTAGGAGATACAACAATTTTTTTTTTTTTGAGACAGTGTCTTGCTCTGCTACCCAGGCTGGAGTGCAGTGCTGTGATCTCAGCTCACTGCAGCCTTAAACCCCCTAGGTTCAAGCAATGCTCCCATCTCAGCCTCCTGAGTAGCTGGGAGCACAGGAGCACACCTTCATACCTGGTTAATGTTTGTATTCTTTGTAGTGACGGGGTTTCATCGTGTTGTCCAGGCTGGTCTTAAACACCTGGGCTCAAGCGATCCACCCACCTCTGCCTCTCAAAGTGCCAGGATTACAGGCGTGAGCCACCACGCCAGGCCAAAACTAAAATTCTTTAGTCATATTAAACAAGAAATAAATAAATACACCATGTAGCTGTGCGATAGCACTTGGTGTTATCTTACAATTGGTTCTCTTCTCCCTTTTGGGCACAGGACTTGATTTAACCGCCTCAAGAGAACACTAAATTGGTTTGAACCTGCTGCTAGCTATTCTGCTGGACACAGATGGTGATACGCGTGTGCCGTAAAAGCTGTGTTCTTTAACACACAATACCCAAGAGTTCCAAAGACTTAGCCTTCTGAGGTCGCAAAGTGGATTTTCCATTGGAAAATGTTATCAGCTCAAAGGGCATGATATTTAAAAAATAAAATGTGATTGGAAACATGAAGGACATAAAGGTGTGAAAGAAGTGTGAAAAGCCATCCTGCCGATAGAGAAAGACACAGGAGTAATCTTTCAAAGCTGCCTCTGCCCTTTTTTCTTCCCTTCAGACCAAAACTGATTAAGTGGGTTAACCTGGAAAGCTAAATGCTTCAAGAATGATTAACAAGTAGGATGAGAACAGAATACAATTTCTGCCATTTCTTTCCCACACTGTCCACAGGATGACTCTGCCATTCCCTTCCTTTCCTCAGTGAGAATGAAACAATATAAACTTTGTGTTTCTTTCTTTCAGGCTGTTTTACGGTGATGAAAGACACAGAGTTCCACCCAGGAGTACTGGACTAGTACAGCTGGGGTTCTTTACTAACTGGCACCTGAATGTGACGTGGATCCAAGCTTCTGCTGTGATTGTACCGGTGTCACTTTAAAGGCTGGTAGGTTAATCCCTTCCCAAAGGACAGGGACATGTGAGGGCAGAATAAAGGACTGTTCTATAACTCAAGATAAGAAAATACACAATGAAGTTACTATATTTACATATAATGCTCAAGTTCATGTGCAGTCAATAGCTAAAACAGAATGTCTTTTAGGAGCAGGTTTCCCTATACTGGTTATACATGAAATGCCGAGGACCATTCGTCACTTTAACTGTGACCTCCTGACGGTGGGCACGTGGCAGCCCGTGGTGTCAGGTGATGGCTGGGAAGACTGAATACGCAGATAAATCCACCCAATGAGCACCACACACACACACAGACACTACCAAGAAGGAAGCTAGGGACAAAACAAAGGCTTAACAGCTCTGGAACAAGTATGCCAGTATGCTGGAGGGGAACAATCCAATTGCTTTATGAATGAAATGAATAAGCAATGGGAGCTCTGGAATACTCAGGGCTGGAAACTCACTCAATCAGGGACACAGTAAAACAGTCAGATATGCAGCCACCCAGAATAGAGCCTGGCACAGGCTAGGTGAAGCTCACTGTTAGTTCTTCTGGTGGGTCCTATGGGGTGTGTCTATGAACAGGAGTAACAGAAAGGAAAAGGACAAAGGACACAGAAGCCTAGGCATTATCTCTGCAGCCAGCCCCGAGTGAGTGAGGAGGCAGCTGGAGCATCCTGGCTGTCTGGGTCCTCATGTCAGGACACGAGAGGAGACAGGAGCATCCTAGAGCTGTAGCTATCTACAGCACCTCAGGACGGACTGGAATCCCAACCCCTTAGAGAAAAGAAAGCAATGAATGCCAACCCAGACAAGCCTGTCCGAAAGGGACCACAGAGAACAGGGTCAGGGGAAGCAGGGGAGCAGAGGTCAGAGAGCAAGGGAAAGAGAGGTGAGTGAGGGGGAAGGAAGCAGTTTTAACAATACTGGAGCTAGGAGTCAGGAGAGCCAGGCTGCCTAAACCACTTGCTATCTGGATAGCCAGAATCACCAAAAATGAAATTTAAACATCAAAAACTCATTTTTACAGAAATGTTTCTTTTTTCTAACTGTTGAAGACAGTCCCAAGACTGTAAGCAATGTACATTATGTTCCTTGACATAAAGAAAAACAAAAATTTTAAAGTATGGAAAGTGTTTTAAAAGCAAAAGAACATTTAGTATTTACAATGAATTTCTGGCATAGTAATTAAGAGAGGTTTCACTGAAAGAATGTTAAAACACTACCCGAGGAGGGATGCATCCAATCACTGCTTGAGAATGTACATAAGCAACAAAACATTTTCTTTTCCTCTTCTGATATCTGCATAATATGTATTTTGAGGCAAACTTTTCTACAAAGGCTATTTTTTTCTCACAAATAACGTAAAACGCTCAGAGTTTTTGGAGAAATCACTGCAATTCCCCCGAATCCATAAAGCAGGTGGCTTCATTGTTTCCCCAGTAGGTACAATTTGCATGGGGGCCATAACAAGAAATTAGGGAGGTGGGGAAGGTTTCTGCACCTAATTCCTTTTGGATTAAAGTCTGGGTTCATTAGACAGAACTCTTTTTAAACACTTTGTTTAATTTTTTTACTTTTAGAGACAGTGTCTTGCTCTGTTTCCCAGTCTGGAGTGCACTGGCATGATCACAGCTCACTGCAGCCTCAAACTCCTAGGCTCAAGTGGTCCTCCCGTCTCAGCCTCCCAAGTAGCTGGGACTACAGGAGCACACCACTGCACTGGGCTACAGGCAGAACTCTTAAGGGGGTCTGAGCTTCTCTCTTTGATGCAGGAATTCAGGCAATGTGAAATCTTCTCCATCACTTTGAGGAAAACAAAAAGCAAAACCCACATAAGCCACCTCTGTCCTCAGGGAAGCACTGGGGTCCTCCTGCTGATGGCCACACAGAGCTGAAGAGCCGCCAGCAGACCAGTGGCCGTGTGGCCCTCCCAGGCTCTCCTCGCTGCAGTGGGGACTGGTCTGTCAGAGGCTTTGGGTGTTTACAAACCTCTGAGAGCAATGTGGGGTGGCTTGTTAGAAAAAGAGAGACATTCCCATCAGCTGAGGAGCACAAAACACCAATTGCAATTACAGCATCACCAAGCCGAGACCAGGAAGGGGAAAGACTGGGGTGTGGCCAGGTCAACCCCATTTGCCCCGGCTGTCCTGGCTTTAAAATGGAAAGTCCCCAGATCCAGAACCTTCTCAATCCCAGGCACACTAGACAGCTGACCACCCTAGAAGACCGGAAAATTTAGGTGCTTATTTGCAGTGGGCAAAATCATTTCCTGTGTGAAATGCTGGAGAGTGGTAAAGACACATAACATATTAATATAAATGTTAATATAAAGAAATTCATGTCAGACCAGGTGCAATGGCTCATGCCTGCAATCCCAGCACTTTGGGAGGCCGAGGTGGGCGGATCACTTGGGGCCAAGAGTTTGATACCAGCCTGGCCATCATGGTGAAACCCCGTCGCTACTAAAAATACAAAAATTAGCTGGATGTGGTGATTCACGCCTGTAGTCTCAACTACTTGGGAGGCTGAGGCAGGAGAATCACTTGAACCCGGGAGGTGGAGGTTGCAGTGAGCAGAGATTGCGCTACTGCACTCCAGCCTGGTCAAAGGGGGAAACTGTCTCCAAAAAAAAAAAAAAAAAAAAAAAAAAGAAAGAAATCCATGTTACTAAAACATGCAGAGGCCTATACTGCTATGACTTTCTCTTAATAAATGTACAATGAGGCAAATGTGGCAAACTGAGGCAGTTTACTAACCAAATCCTCATTTCCTCATCCCACAGGGATCAACGCGGCTGGGGATGCTGTGGGCCAAGGCCATCATCCAGGCTGCTGGCCCTGCCGGCCAGAAAGCGGGGCTGGCTCCTGGGTGCTGGACGCCTGGAGGAGCTCACCTGCCACCATTTCCTTGGGTGTCCCACTCTTTGCATGTTTTTAAAGCTGGAATGTTTTTTCTTTTTTTTTTGAGACAGAGTCTCGCTCTGTCACCGAGGCTGGAGTTCAGTGGCATAATCTTGGCTTACTGCAGCCTCTGCCTCCTGAGTTCAAACCATTCTCCTGCCTCAACCTCCTGAGTAGCTGGGACTACAGGCGTGTATCACCATGCCCAGCTAATTTTTGTAGTTTTAGTAGAGACGGGGTTTTACCATGTTGGTCAGGCTGGAGCTCCTGACCTCAAGTTATCTGCCTGCCTCGGCCTCCCAAAGTGCTGGGATTACAGACGTGAGCCACCATGTTCTGTCTAACACTGGAATTTTTAACTGCAGGGTGGGAGATAACAGGGAAATGCAGACAGAAGGAAACTGAATATTATCTGCAGCAACACGGAAAGATAAACATATAAAATATCTCCCTTACAATGCTAACTGTTAATTCTCCATAAGTATTTCCTGAAATCTGAGTTTGAATGGATGTCATGGTGGGAAGGGGAAGAGATAAAGAGGTTTTTCAAATAGTCCCTTTTCTCCTAGAGCCAGCCTGCCTCCATTTCCTTTTAACAATCTGGAATGTGGACTTTTAAGATGACCGTGTTCCCAGGTTGCATTTATCCGAAGTGTGTGTGAGAGAGAGAATGTGTGTGTATGTGAGTGTGTACATGTGCAAGCACATCCAGTTATACTTGTTGGCACTTGAAACCTTTTCATAAATCAACTTCTGAATATTTAAAATGAGAATTTTAGAAAACTCTCCTTGGCTAATAATTCAAATATTTCATTTTGCTTTCAAGATCATGCTAAATCAGACGAGATGGAAAACAGAATCAGTACTTTTCCAGTGAATCTCTATCTTCCATAGATTTAGGATCAATGCCTGCGCTATTTCTGGGTCCCAGAGAGAACTCAGATTGAAACAAAATCTAATTCAGTCACAGTTATGTATAAACAAAGCCCTTATAACTAAATTTTCACACAGCTGTCCCCAGCCTATCCAGCCCTTAACATCCTCTGAATTTGCTGAGGTAAAAAATAAAATAAAATTTAAAAAGATATTAGAGGAGGGGGTGATAACAACTCCGTAACACTCTTGATTCCAAATAATAGACAATTTAATGAAGTCAGGGCTAAAAAGAGGACTTCTGCTCAGCATCTTTAAAGTTCAAGAAGCAAAATCCAATGGGTTAAATGTAGACATTTCAATCCGTATGAAATGAGCAGGCTACTGTGAGAGAAGTAATAAAGGTATGTATGGTATTTTACACTAGGCACTTCATGCTCACAGAATGAGTGACTCGAATCAAATCTTTTACCTCAGCAAACATGCTACCTTGCATTTTGAAAGTCATGGGGTGGTGCAGGGGGTGGATTCTGAAAACTTCACAAATGTCTACTGAAATCCCAGTACAGCCTGTTCCAAATACACACAGAAGCAGCTTGATGGGATGGAGACGTAGTCTCTGGGAGGTCAGGTGGGGCACCCGTTGGAGCTGCCTGATCACGGGGGAGAGGATCACACAGAGTAAGGAGGAGGAGGAGGAGGGTGGAGAGGCTCCACGAGCAGCTCCCCAGCAGGGCGTGGGCGCTGCTTTCCAGTTCAACTCCAAGTATGTCAGCATCTCCTCAGTGGAGGCGTGGGAAGCCCAGGATTTAAGTCCTACCCCACATCCACTTGCTCCTCACCCTATATAAATTTTTATCCTCCCAGGCCGTTCCCTCATCTCTAAAGTGGACACTGTCACATTAGCCCAGCTGGTGTCATAGCGTTTTCATAATTATTTTAAGTCTAAGAAAGGATTTTATAAATCATAAAGCTGTCAGTGAACACGGAAACACTGCAACAACCCTCCACTGAAGAATGGTTCTTAGCCTTTGGACTTCAGACTCCAAAGCCAGGCAATATTCAACATCTGTGCCTTCACAGCTGGTGTGTTCCTGGAAGCTGAACAGGAAGTATCAGCAGAGAGCGCACCATCCCTTATCACACAGTCTCCACCAATATGGTGCTTTGCATTTTTCCACAACAGAGATGTCTCTGTCCCAGAGAGGACTGTTTCAAATGTCTGACCAGGTATTTATGTAGTGTTCTTTCTATTTCTAGAGTATACTACAATGTAGACTTTCTTCAGCTCTTGAACCAAGATGACTACATAAAGGGAGCCTGTTTTAGGAAACCGGGCGACACAGGAATGTCATATCGCTTCTTACGTGCATACAGATGCCTCAGGCAGGCAATACTTACACATTCGGTGTGCACAGGATGGACAGCAAACAGCAGTGCAGCCAGCAGGGACGCCCTCGGGGCGAGGTGTAGCCTCCGGCCTTTACTGGTGTACTGTAGGCCACCAAACAGAACCGAGAAGACGTCCACCATGAGGACAGAGATGCCACCATGAAGAAGGATGTTGACCATGTGAAAGCCCATGGGGTAGAAGCCTCCTGACAGGTAGTAGTTAATCCTGCAGAAACACAGGGTGTTCAGGGTAGACGTGCAGTGGCATGCGGCAAGAAATGGCAATGGTCTGGAGGAAAAGGCTTTTGCGTGGAAATATGAAAAGGAGAAGCGGAAGATGTTGTGCCAGCCTGATAAAAATAGCATCAAGATAAATAATGCCTGTCGAGCTAAGAAGGTTGCAGAAACGGTGGGAATGTAATTAACTACAGGGAAAAATGGAGGAAATGGAGGTGTCCAAGGGGAGTGGCGCTGAAAACAACTTGCAGAGGAGAATCGAAAGGAAAGCTAGACAATTCTTTAAGTGCAGAAAGGGCAAGGCTGCATTCCAAGAAGATCGAATATTCCACACATTACTCATGGCTACCCACTAGGGACCTGGGTTTTAGATAGTCTTGTAACTTGATTATCCTCCAAAAAAGGGCTCCTTATCAGTATGCCCACCAGCCTTCCACCAGCAAAACACCCTCACGCTGGCAGGGATTCCTATTCCGACTGCTTCTCAGCTGCTGGTGGTTCCAATCCATCACTCCCATGCTTCTGTGGGACATCTAAACACAAATGTTTAAATGCACCCAAGCAGCAGGTATGGACGAGAACCTTTATGAGGTGAACGCATCCATTCAGTGCAAGGGGCTCTCTGATTAATGAAGGGGGATTGTTTTTAAGCTGCATCTTGCTTCTAAGTATTGACTTGCTAACAGTAGAATGATTTATACCTTATTTATTTCTGTAGTGAAAAAAAATTAGTTTCATCAGAGGCCCCATATTGCTTTCACTCATATCATTTCATTGGTGTTAAGAAGCAAAAGGTCAAACCTCCAAGAAGTGAGAAAAATATGAAACACCACCAACTTGCAGGTCATCCTTCACAGCGGCCACGTTCGTGTTCTCTGCACCTAGAGACCCATGTATGTGAGCAGCTCAGACCCGCTTGGAGCTACTGACTGGAATCCTCAATGCTGAGAACCCAGTGACACATACCCGAGTTCAAACGTCACACACAAGCCGGAAGTGACCCCCCCAGACCCATCGATGTCACGGCTTACCTGAAAGTCAGGACGGTGAGAGGTCGGTAGGACTTGTGGCTGGTGTTGCTGCTCAGTCGACTGCCCCAGAAGTCATGGTGCCACAGGTCACCGAGGGGTGTTTCTGCTTGGAGGTCCTGTGGGGACACGAAGGGGTGTTCTGGACAAGGGTCTCCAGCTAGCCCTGGGCCAAGCTCCTCCAACTCTCACCCGGGATGCTGTCAGGCCTGCTCGTGGGGCTGCTGCACCCAACATGTTCTCCATGTTGACCATCTCGAGGTACATGTGGGGTTACCCCACCAGGCTTGAAACACCAAACAGCTCTCACCCTTCTGGGACGCAGTCGATATGCTGAAGGGGCTGTCGCAGACCCTGGTTTCCCCCAAGCTCTGCAGGCCCATGGCTCTGGCGTTGTGCCCCCGCCAGCTCCAAACCCAGAGGCTCTGCATGTGCGGGTCTCCCCTGGACGGTCACTCTCAACTCGTCACAGCTCAACTCCTCCTGCTGTTCATCTCCCAGCTGCCCAGCTCTGCCCCTCCTGAGCTGATCCATTTCTCTTCCCTGGGTCTCTGGGCACCTCACCCTGTCAAGCAATGTGTGGCACCCTGGCGACTTAGTTTCACATGACTACTGTTTGTGCCACTAGACTGGGCTCAGGAGGACTGGGCTACATCTGGGTTTGCTGGCTGTATACAGAAGGTGTTTAATACATGTCAAATAAGTGGACCACACAGCTAAATAAGATCACTATTAACCTTTCAGGTCTAATAAATAACTTACCAAAATGTCCCAGTTAAAACATAAGTATGGATAAACATATTTTTTTAAGTTTCCATTTTTGAACATGAGCTAAGCAGGCTGTGAAATCAGGAAAAAAACCCTTCATTTTAACAGATTAAAAAAACCCTTTTTTTAACAGATTAAAAAAACCATTTTTAACAGATTAAAAAAAACACTAAATATTAAAGAAAACTGTACTTCTTACTGCTGGGGTAGTTTAATTTGGTACTCTACCACAGATGCTTAAAAAGGCTTTTATTTTATTTTTTTTACATTTAAAGATGAAGGTAGATGGCTTAAACTGTGTCTAATGAGAAGAGAGGCAAACAAGGCACTGTGGAGTAAGTTAAGAAAAACGACAGATCGACTTTCTCTTTAAAGCATAATTAAACAGGAATGTTTTAGGGGCTAGAATTACAACATGCTGATCATTTCCCCGTGTTGTCAGTCAAGTTTCTTCATTGCAGTAACCAAATTCTGATTGATTTAAACAAAAAGGGAATTCTTCAAAGGGGAGTGTGCAGCTCATGGATCCCATGTGGCCTGGAAAGCCAGGGCAGGGCCGAGGCAGGAGCACCCCACAAATCATGCCTGGGGCGGAGACTGCCTGGCTGCCTCTGGGCCCCCACCTCTTTGTGGGACCAGCTCCTGACTCCAACAGTTGGGCACACCTGATGGGACAGCACCTGTCTGTGCCAGCTCCCTAATCAAATGGTCTTCTGAGCCCCAAACAGAAACGGGTCAAATGATCGGTGGCCCTGAAAAGCAACAAAAGACCATACCCATCATGCAGTTCAGCGCTTGTGACTTAAGTGCTTGCTGACTGAAAGGGAGAGGCTTGAAAAGAGGCCAGAGATGCAAAGCTGGTCACTGATGCCCACTGTAAGGGTGACATCTGCTTCCATAAGGATGGGCTTCAGAGGCCAGGAGCGCACTGACCATACCCCAAGAGTGGGTGAGGGATTCTGTGAAGGTCGTATGAGTCACCTGCTCCCTTGGTTGACTCAGTGGCAAGCCTGGAAAGCCCACCTTCTCCTACGCTCTTACAGAAGGGCTTGGTCAGTTGAGAAGGGCTTGGGCAGAGGATCTTTCCCTCGCTTTGAAAAGGAAATGAACACCAACAAGGCTCTAAATATTTGATTAGGTGGAGCCTACACACAGCGGGTATGCTACAGGGAGAAAGGTCAATTCTTCCTCACCATGATTTATGGAAAAGATGTATTGTGTCTCAAATTCCCCCTAATTCCACTGTCTCAAAGAAGACCATCATCTCAAGAAACAAAAAAGGCAACTCCACACTGCAAGGAAGCATCTGGAAAACAGTCTCTAACATCACTAAAATCCAGTAACAGCCTGTTTCACATTACTGTAGGCACGGTGCCAATGAACAGAGGAGTGCCTTTCATTAACCAGGAGAAGAAAAAGGGAGGACTAGCAAGTTAACAAAAGGGGCACAGTGTGATGCTCCCGAAAACACTGCCAAGACCATGCTCGGCAGAGCTACGAAATGGCCTCATCTGCCTCACCTCACAGAAGGAACAAGAATTACACCCAGACATCAGGGCCTCCACACACAGCCCAGCTCATGTTTCTGTTCTGCCTGGCTGACCAACATTTTTCAACATGGTTTCTGAATTAACACTTTATATGTCTCCTGCTTTCTGCAAGGAGAAGAGTCAAGATATTCTCACCAAAATGAATAATGGAATTTAAACAATAAAACTCTAACTTTGTGAGAAAAGCAGTGCTGTGGCCATTAAGCCACCAATTTGTGCTGGGCAAGGTAGCTTGGGCTTGTCATTCCAGCACTTTGGGAGGCCAAGGTGGGAGGATCGCTTCAGGACAGGAGTTTGACATCAGCCCGGGCAACATAGTGAGACTGTCGCTACTAAAAATTTTAAAAATCAGCTGGGTGTGGTGGTGCATGACTGTAATCCTAGCCACTTGGGAGGCTAAGATGAGAGGATGGCTTAAGCCTAGGCATTGGAGGCTGCAGTGAGCTATGATCGCACCACTGCACTCCAGCCTGGGCAACAGAGTAAGACCTTGTCCCTGCCCCATGAAAAAGCCACCAATTTGATATAATTGTGTAGAGTTACTTAGTTCTCTTAAGCATGATTTAAGAAAGCACTGAAATAGAATCATCTACAGTAACTACTGAGTGAACTTGAAGAAAATTACAAATGAAAAACTCGAATTAAAAATAAACATTGGCTGGGTGCGGTGGCTCATGCCTGTAATCCCAGCACTTCTGGAAGCTAAAGTGGGCAGATCATCTGAGGTCAGGAGTTCGAGACCAGCCTGGCCAACATGGTGAAACCCCATCTCTACTAAAAACACAATTAGCCGGGCGTGGCATGCCTGTAGTCCCAGCTATTCCGGAGGCTGAGCCAACAGAATCGCTTGAACCCCAGAGGCGGAGGTTGTAGTGAGCCAAGATCATGACACTGTACTCCAGCCTGGGTGACAGAGTGAGAATCTGTCTCATAAACAACCACCACAACAAAAAAAATCCATTAAAACATTAACAATACTCTACCTTGTGCCATCAAAATGGAGATCAATTGCAGTATTACGTTACAAATAAAATAAATGCAAATAAGTCATGTTTCCCCCTATACAATACATGTTTGTCACATAAAGAGTTCTTCACAACATTTTCAGCATGAAAATGACTTTATACTTATTTGGTAGAAACCATGACTTCATATTTTTAAAAGCATTCAACAGCGTTACAAAGAGTTGCTATAATTACATCAAGTAGCAAGCTAAATGTGTATATTCCTCCAAGTCTTCTTCACGGGCTAAGGAATACACATAAAATGTCTTCTGAGTAACAGACCATCGAGAGGCTCTAACTAGTGCCATTTTCGAGTTCTTTCTCCTCTGGGCCTTGCCTGCCTCTGCATTTCTTGCTCTGGTTTTTAGCCTGCTTGAATCTTTTTCATCTTTTCCCACAAAGCTCTTTCTTCTGCCCTAACTCCGGGTAGGGAGTGGAAAAAGATTACCATTTTCCCTGCACTGATATATAGCAACCACTGGTAAGCAAAATTGACTGGAATTTTGCACGTTCAGCAAAACTGAATCTCCAAACATGAAACAAGCAGGAACTGCGGCGCCCATGGGCAGCACGTTCCTCCTGCCCCAGCAGCTGTCAGCAGGCTGTCCTGACAGTCTCAGAGGAGGACAAAGTGGCAGCCAGCTCCCTGCCTGCTGCTGAAGATGTGCCTTCTGGCAGGTGATCAGACCAGTCCATCACTGCAGCAAATGTGTGATGGGTTTTTTTTTTTTTTTTTTTGAATGACTGTGGAAATGTTTCACAAAACCTGAAATACTTACTCTGCAATGCCCTGCAATACCCTTGCCTTGTAATCTTAGAAGAATGGCCTCTTTGATCCACATGTGGACTGGGGCTCTTGAGGGGAAAGCCTCAGCTCAGGGAGGGGTTCAGAACCTTGGTGCCAGCAAAAAGAAAGGCACTAAATCAAGGAGGCGATGTTGAAAAGAGACACAATAATCGAGAGCACGACTGGGGCCCAGACCAATGCCTAACCTGCGTTCCACAGAGAACAACGCAACACAAACTTAGATGATTACTGACACACAGGTGAGCAGTTAAGTTGGCCAGAAAAGAGCTGAGATACAAACCTTATTGTTAACAATAGCTTCTGAATCATCAAAGACAAAGTCTCCATCATAGCTCCGTGCAAAACACACAATGGCCACCAATCCCACTACTAACTTAGCCCAGAAAGGAGGAAGAACAGGAGAGGGAAGGATGCGATCCAAATCAGCGTCCAACTCGGCCATTCTGAAAACTGCAGGCTGGTGGCCCCCGGCTCCAGCATTATGCTGGTTAGGAATCTGCAGGAAAAACAACATCATATAAATATTCACCAACATTGGTAGGGCAGTTTCTGCAGTGAGCACCATGAGTAAGAGCTGGATAGTTATTTACACTATGATTTTTTTTTTTTTTTTTTTGACATGGAGTCTCACTCTGTCGCCCAGGCTGGAGTGCAGTGGCACAATTTCAGCTCACTGCAACCTCCGCCTCCCGGGTTCAAGCGATTCTCCTGCCTCAGCCTCCTGAGTAGCTGGGATTACAGGTGCCCACCACCACACTCACCTAATTTTTTGTATTTTTAGTAGAGATGGGGTTTCACCATGTTGGCCAGGCTGGTCTCAAACTCCTGACCTCATGATTAGCCTGTCTTAGCTTCCCATAGTGCTAGAATTACAGGTGTGAGCCAAGGCGCCTGGCAGCTATGCTATGATTTTATAGGATTTGATCATTAACAATTTGAAGTTGTGCTTTCCAAACTTTAGTGGGCAGAAAGTCACATGGGATGCATGCAGATTCCTAGGCCAGACCACAGGACCTATCAAATCAGATGCCCTTCGGTTTCTGATGCTGGAATACCCTTTAGAAACATGAATTTAATGGGATCCTCATCAACCCCACAAGGCAAATCATTTTTAATCGCCCTTAAACCAGTTTACAACGCTTAAAAAAAAAGAAGTTACCATCTGAACTTCATCCAATCAAGAAAAATCAATAAACAGTCATTGTTGGGTTTTAGCACACTGTGTGTGGGGCAGGGGAGGGGGTAGTGTGTAAAACACAATCCTGCTTCTGAAAAAGCTTATGGTCTATTTGAAGCATTCAGGCACACAGGCCAGTGAGCCAAGACTCTGAGACAGAGACAGGGGAGTTGAATAGAGAAATCCTAAGGCGGGGCACAGCATCGAATGCTGGGTTCCCAGGTTAGTGGCTCACACACAGAGGACAGATAGAGGAAATGACTGGTGGGGACAATATCTTGTCCCAGAAAAGGCTGAGCCATACAAAGGAAAGGAAGGGAGGCTATTCTATGTGAGGATATGACCTTCAATCCTGGTGAAAGAGTCCAGATAAAAATATACACTATTTTGAACTTTTCTTTCAAATGGGCATAATGTTTCTCACCGGGGATGCCCGTGCCCCGGACTTGCCATGTGTTAGTTGTACGGTCCTGTGCACAACCCCGTTCCTCTCTGAGCCCACCCGCTGCGGCCCTCTGCAAAGCATCTTAACACCCAGTAGTGAGAGTTGCCTAAGAGCTTCCTGCCTTGGAATTCACTGAAACAAATCTCAGCCTATCCCCAAACTCACACTTTATCTGCCCCCATTCCTACCACATCCTGGACGGGGCTTTCTTTGGACTTACCAGAATCAGGTTTGGGTCGGACTGCTTGGCTCTGACCTGGAGTGCCTCTGGGCAACTTACTTGACCTCTCTGGGCCTCAACACCAAAACACGGATGGTAAGAGTGCCTACCTTCTAGAGTCGTCATGAAGATTAAATGAGATTCCCAACACTGCCAGGCTGTAATGAAGGCTAAGAGGAAGCTAGCTATTATTACTAATACTTTCTTCCACGAGGCTGAACGTAGAGGCACAGAATGATTTTCTAAGGGAAATCCCTTTTAGTATCTGCTTGATTGGTACTGAAGCTCTTGTCTTTACTAAAGGGCCTGGACCCTGTTCTTTTCCTGCCGAGATGAAAGAATCCCAGCCCCTTGACTGGGAAGGCAGTTTGGATGTATTTGTTTCTGGATCTCTGAGTGAACATCCCAGATTATAGAATCAGTAAGAAGCCAGCTAAATGGGCCACCTGAAGTCACAGGCATCTTTTTGATAGCCTTCTGTCTGAATGAAGATGGAGACAGATCCAACAGGTAACGGGCACACCACTCCATAGTGATGCTGTCCCCTTCCAGGGGCCAGAAAGAGGCTCAGATTTACACTCCAGAGATGTAACAGGCTGCAACTCTTCCATCACTTGTCTCTCAAGCCTCACGCCTGACGTAAGGCATGCTCTCAGGAAGCGCTGGAGGAATACCGCAGCTACTTTTCTTTTCCAGTGAAAGGATAAGCCACTTCTCAAATCCAAATTACAACTGCAAACACAATATAGGTCAGCACACAGGCCCTAACCTCTGTGCTTACATTTCAGCTTAAGAAATCACTCCTGTTACTTAAAAAACAACAAATCAAGGCTGGGTGCGGTGGCTCACGCCTGTAATCCCAGCACTGTGGGAGGTTGAGGTGGGTGGATCGCTTGAGCCGAGAGTTTTGAGACCAGCCTGGGCAACAAGGTGAAACCCCGTGTCTACAAAAAGAAATACAAAAAGTAGCTGTGTGTGGAGGCGCATTCCTGCAGTCCCAGCCACTCAGGAGGCTGAGAGGTGGGAGGACTGCTTGAGGTCCGGAGTTCCAGGCTGCAGTGAGCTGAGATCAACCACGGCTCTACAGCATGGGCAACAGAGTGAGACCCCGTCTCAAACAACGACAATGACAACAACCACCGCCCCCAACAAAGCCAAACACTGAATAGTTAGGAAGATATTACGACTTAACATGGGGAGAATAAGAAAATTTAGAAAATTAATGTGAAGGAAAACAAATAATTCATGGCAATCTTAAATGCACAATAGAGTTGTGAGCTGACAAAAGGTCATGTAACTGGTTTTGACATGATCTGCTTTGTTGTTTCAACAGTGAATTTATTGGCTCGTGCGATCTATTTTTGGACATGGTGTCTTGCTATTTTGCCCAGACTAGATCCAACTCCTGGGCACAAGTGATCCTCCTGCCTCAGTCTCCCAAGTAGGTGGGACTACAAGAGCATGCCACTGAGCCTGGATATTATCTGGTTCAGTCTCAAATATGTGAATATTGTTTCACAAATGTTTGTCAAGGTTCAAATGGCCTTCCAAGTAGAATACTAAATCAGGAAATACTCTGTGCTCCTAAGTTCTCGACGACTGTACCTAGGATTGTTTAGAACATAATCATGTTGGTACCCAAGCAACAGCCCTGATATATATAAGGCAGACTGTAGACCATGCCATCAACCAGGTGCCCTGGTAGGCCAGGTCCAGACTCTTGGGAAGTCAAGTGGATGGCTGAGTCAGTGGATCTCAGGTGATCTTCTCTGCTCTTGCAGGGACAGCAGGGAATCTGACCTACCTCCAAGGTTTCTGCCCCCATATTATTTCCCAGTTCTGGCTGGCTCTCCCCTCCTCGCTGTGACTCCCCTGCTTCTCTATCGCAGGTAGCTCCTCCTCCTTTCTCCAAGGCCTCTCACTTCTTTTCTGCCACTGAAAATACTGACAAATGCTCTTTTCTTTCAAGGGATTTACTGTTTATGTATATAGTGGAATAGTTCAGAAAATGCCTTTCACTAGCAAATGCAAAAAAAGAAAAAAAAAAAAAAAAACACCACAGCTACAATTTGTTAGAAAGCCAGTCAAAGTTCTCAATCTAGTTCAGTAGTTGAGACCAAAGGCTATGGAGACAGACAAACCTGGACTTGCCAGCTGCACGAACTTGAGCTGCTTAGTCTTTCTAAGGATCAATTTCCTCACTGGCACAGTATGGCACCACCACTACTTTCATCAGAGGGCTGGGGTAAGAATTAAAGGAGAGCACATATGCAAACAACTAGTTCCCATTAGTGTTAGATTTTGGAGAAATTAGCTGCTGCTTCCCAGTCCCTGACCTCCTGTCTTGAGCACACCCATGCTGCCACTGTTTATTCCTGCAGATGGGCTTAGCACCAGGGCCAGCAGCAGCCCATCAGGTGACCTGGTGCAACTGAGAAAGGCATACCCTTCCTTTGGGCTGATCCAGGGCACATGGCTTCCTTAGTCAGATGTCTTACACAAACTGTCCAACTGTACACATTGACCCAGTTCCCAACTCTCCTTCCTCCAACACTAAATGACTTCTGTTCCTCAATGACCTGAGCTAGGCTTAGCACTCAGGTAAAAGAAGCCCTGTCTGAGTAGGGTGGTAGAGATGGGGGACCACCCTCTTCACAGCTCCTCTCCCCCTTTTTTTTTCCTATCACCCAGGCTGGAGTGCAGTTGTATGATCATAGCTCACCACAGCCTCACCTTACTAGGCTCAAGGGATCCTTCCACTTCAGCCTCCTAAGTAGCTGGAACTATAGGCATATGCCACCATGACTGGCTGTTTAAAATTTTTTTTTGTAGAGACCAGGTCTCACTATGTTGCCCAGGCTAGTCTCAAACTCCAGGCTTCACACGATCTTCCTGCCTTGGCCTCTCAACGTACTGGGACTACAGGTGTGAACCACCGTGCTCATCAGCACCATTTTTTATACCCCGACCATGAAGTAGGAAGTGATGCTCTGTTTTCTTCCAGATGGGCTCTAGGTTGCACCCTCTGGTCCCTCTTCTCCACATGATGTCCTGCCTAGGCTCCCGGGCTCCTCTGCCAGAGCTGGATCGTCAGTTCACCTTATGAAGCAACAGGAAGAGAGACCCACTGTGGCCTCAGCTACAGGCCAGGCAGAGGGCACAACCCAGGAGGAATGAAGTCAGTGTTCTGCTCGCCACCTAACTCCTACAGCAGAATCAACTGGCCCCTCAACAGGGGCTGAATCTGGAACAAAGCAGAGGTCCCTTGATCCTACAATTTCTCAAACTTTTATCAAGCCTCTAATATCAAGAATTATCCTACAATTTCTCAAACTTCTCATATCAAGCCTGTTTTCAGGAGGTTAAAAGAAATTAATCAGTGAGAAGGTCAAAAAGAGGACTCCCGAGAAACAAACGTTATCCAGCTGTGAACCATGAGGACCCAATGACAGCTGACAAAGCAGCCTGGCCTGCAGTAAACAGAGTGGAGAGATCAAACCTAAATGTTTCCCCTTGGAAAAATTAGCAGCAGCCACCTACTGAATAATATTTCTCTCCTTGTATCAAGGGCCTGCTAACCTCTGCCCAGCCTTTCTACCTCATGTGCAACACTTCAACTACATAGCCAGCTATCCTCTGCCACGCTGAGAGGTGACAGCGCTTCTGGGAATCAGATTAGAGAACACGATCGTTTGTGACCCAGTATCGCTGGGCCTGGCAGTTTCCTAGATGATCCTATCCCGGGCCCCTCAAGTCAGGGGAGCTAGCCACCATCACCATCCTCCTCCATGCAATGCTGCATCCGTGCTACTGAAGGCTAGCTAAGATATCATTCGGCTGCAACCGGCCTTCCCATTTTATAATTCAGTAGCACATGAGGGCCATGGCTGCCTATAGCAAGAATGTGTGTGGTTCCACTGTCCCAGAAAGTTTCCAGCTGGCTAGCCTGTAGCCATTTCCCCCATCTAGGTGCGCTGGCCGTCACTTTGCCCCCGCTTCATCAGGGCGCGCCAGGCGCAGAGGCGACTGCAGAGAAAGGGGACAGGGAGGAGACCTAGTCAGTCCCTACTCTGTTTCTCAAGACATTCTCCTCATGCATTTGCTCTCCCGGGGAAAGAGCGAAGTGTGGGATGACTCATAGTGGCTAGATCGTTCCTCTAACTCCTCCCTTCTTTTGTGTGTGGTTAAAAAAAAAAGAAAAACACACACGCAGCCCACAGCCACAACATCAACAAGACCAGAACCCCGCAGAGTTCGCAGGAGGTGGGCAGTGGCTGCGCCACCTGCTCGGCTTCCCCAAACTCCGAGCCCACGCCGGGAAGCGGCGGCTCGGTGGCCCCAGGCGCCCGGGCTGGTGGCCCCGCGCTCCCGCCGCTCAGCTCTGCAGCCGAGCGTAGAGTGGCAGGCGCTCGCAGCACGGCGGGGGAGCAGCCGCGAAACCCAGGGCAGGCGGCCAAGCGGCCCGGCTGTGCCCAGCCATCGCCTGCGCCGCGGCCAGCTGGCGGCCAGGCGCGGGGCCCCGCGGCCAGATGGCCGCTCCGGGAACGCACTGCAGGCGCCGGGTGCGCCCGCTCGGCTGAGCCGGCAGGGACTGGGGCGGCGACCTCTGCCGGGGCGAAGGAGCGCAGGGACCCGAGCGGGTCGCGGGCAGGCGGGGCGCGCACCCTCCACGTCGTGCCCTTTGTCCCGCGTGTGGCTCACACCGGGGCCCGCGTCGTCCGTGACCCCGGCCCCGGCCGCAGCCCGGGTCCCGGAACCAACTCCTCCAGCAGTGCCGCCCCCAGGCCCGAGCCGCCGTGCGGGGCTTGGGACTCGGCAGCAGCGGGCAGCCGGCGCCCGCTCCGCGTCCAACTCCGCTCGCCCCTCAGCGCTCTCGGCCCTGCAGGGGCCGCCCCGCGCGTTACCTGCAAGGAGCCCGAGCCGCGACCACATCTCACTCCCGGGTGCGGAAACTCCAGCGGCTCCAGGAGCCCGCCCGGACCTAGCAGGGGGAGGGGCTGCCTGCGCACCACCCCCCGCCGCGCCCCCGCCCCCTGCGCCGCACCGCCCGCAGCTCCCCTCGCGCCCGGGCGTCCCCCCAACACCCGTCTCGGCCCGCCCTCTCCTCCCGACCATTGGCTGCTGCTCCCGTCACTTTCAGGCCAAAGCCCGGTTCCTCCTCAGTTGATTGGCGGATACGCCGGTGACGTCAGGCCAGGGGGCGCTAGTCGGCGGCGAAGGAGGCGCAGGGACGGACGGACCCGGCGGTAGAGAAGGAAGCCGGGTTGTGGGGCGGGAAGGGGCGGCCCCTGTCGGGCCGGGCGAGACGGGCAGCGGGAGCCGGAGCAGGCCCTCCCTCTTTCTCCGCGGTCCGCGCGCGGGACCCTATTTCTGGCCTGTCTCGCGCTTCGCCCGCGCTGTGGTCCCCGCAGAACATCAGCGTCTCCGCGGAACAGCCCGAACTCCACTTCTTCCTGTCCCGGAGGAGTTGTTTAAAACGTGCGTGTCCCCGCCTTCTGCTTCTCACAACAGAACTGACTGAAGCCGTGTTTTTCCTGCCGAGGCCATGCTGCGGCATGAACCCTGCGGCGGCCAGAGCCACCCAGCGCGCGCCCACTCACCACAGGCTCCAGCTGCTTGGTCCCGAACCTCCACTCCCACCCTAGTGATAACCACACCCCCCACACGCCCACTCTCAGAGGTGTTTGCCGCCTGTTTCAGGAAAAAGAGAAACTTATTCCACTTTCCTCCGGCGCAACTGCACACCTGTTCCCTCCTCTCGTCACCGAGCCCCCCCCTTCCGTTTTTCCGGTATCGCAGAATCGGAGCCATTGCTCCCTGTGGACTGGAATCCGCATCCTCGGCATTTCGTCATTCTCAAGACTCTACTGCACGCACCCTTGCAGCTGCCGCCCTCTCCTACTTTCCATCGCTGAAGTTGGTGAAGGAGGCGCCCCAGTTTTTTGGTTTCTCAACTCCACGTGTTCGTTTTCACACTCAGTGAAATTGCCTTTTTAATGGTCGCCAGTAACATCCGCATCACTAAAGCCAAAGGACACTTTACATTCTCATGTTATTTGATCTCAGCAAAATTCCTTTTTCCTCCTTGAAACACGTCTTCCTGTGGCGGAAGGGTGCTCCACTTTCCTATCTGTCCCCAGTCTTGGCGCGCTTATCTGCTTTGGATGATCCCCAAATAACAGAGTTTTCAAGGTCTCACACCTTTCCTCTTACTCCACAATTTTTCCCTGAATGATTTAACCTGCCGTCAACACTTAAACCAGTATATCCCAAATTTACCACTCTAATTTCTGCTCCTCTGAGCTCCAAACCCGTTTATCTAGCTTCCTATTCAGCTACTCCTCCTGCGTGTGTAATGAGCATCTCAAATGGAACCCATCCGAAGCTGAATGCATGCATTTTCTGCTTGCTCTCAACTTCCTGCCTCTCGGTGATAGTGAAGACACCGCCATCCGTTCAGTGTTTCCCAAACTCTGCTTTCACTCCGGCATCTAACAAATCGCCAAGACTCTACTTCTTAAATATTTCTGAAGTCTGTCCACTTTCTTCCATTTGCTGTATTACGTTTCGTGATGTACTTACTGCACATGCGTCTTCCCGGCCCACACTCAGTAATGTCTCATTGGTAGAATGTAATGGGCCGTGGTGGAAGTGTTTACACCGTGGAAATTAGCCAACATTGTGAACCATAAATCAGGGATTGATTTGTTTTGTTTATGGTCTCTAGACTGAAGAAAGTGATGGGGAAAATGTTAATAATGCAGATTAAACTTAAAAATGTGTTGCGCTTAGTGCTGAAACAAAAATATTGCAGTTTAATGAGTTTATAAAAGAGTAAGAAGTGGTTTAACAGACCACATATCAGATTTAAGGACAATAAATTTGTTGGCAAAAAGGAGATTGGTATGCAATTTCACTAGTCGCCTCATGGTTGGATTACAAGCATTGGATGGATTCAGACACAAGCCTTTGGCAAAAAGGAACCAAAGCTTTCTGTGAGAATCAGTCAAGATAGAACTGACAATAAAGAGTATCTGCCTATTTTTTTTTAAATATGTGTATTGTTTATTTCACATCCTTTTTATCAGAAACATTTATAATAAATATATGTTTGTATATATAGGCACATATTTCTATTTCCCCCAGCGAGTCAGCTGTTGGACATTTACCAGCACACTGCTGACTGACATAGAATCACCAGTGCCTGGTGGAAATAAAAACCAGATGAAATTTTAGTCAGTTTTAATATTGTCAATGCTCTGTAGACAACGCACCCCTTATCCCTTATTTCCTGCCCCAGGATGGTTTGCCCCCTCTGTGGCCCCTCTTGATAGGCCTCTGCTTCCCAGTACTCTTAGACTGAAGGTCTCAATCTTTCATGATCTGCAGTGCCACATCATGATCAGGCCCCTTGCCTGCTACTCCTGAGTCATCCCATGCTTCTCTCTGCTGCATTCCATAGGCCCCAGCCATGTTGGCCATCTCGTGTCCTCCAGTGTGCTCTGTGCTCCTTTCCGTCCTGGGCTGTGCACATGCACCTGCAGCGCTCCCTCCTCCCCTCTTCCACCACACCTGGCTACCTCCAGTTCAGAGGTCTCCAACTCCTCAGGGCCGCAGATGGGCACTTGTCTATGGCTTGTTAGGAACCAGGCAGCACAGCAGGAAGTGAGCTGGCCAAGAGAGCAGTGCCATCTGAGCTCTGCCTCCTATCAGATCAGCAACAGCACTATATTTTCACCGGAGTAGGAACCCTGCTGTGAACTGTGCATGGGATGGATCTAAGTTGTGAGTTCCTTAGGAGAATCTAACTAATGCCTGATGATCTGAGGTGGAACAGCTTCATCCTAAAACCATCACCCCAACTCCCTCCGTGGAAAAACTGTCTTCCATGAAAGTGGTCCTTGCTGCCAAAAGGTTGGGGACCAAGCTTTCGCTGCCTTAATTCATTCTTCAGATTGCTATTCAAGGGTCATCTCCTCTGAAAACCCTGAATTATCACCCCAAACACCTGTAGGTCCATCTGTGTATACTCTCATATCTCTTATTAAAACTGTAATTAACTGACAGTGTGGCCATTTGTATAAAGTCTATCTCCAACTATCTCACTAGACTGTAAGTTCCATGAAGGCAAGAACCATGTCTGTGTAGTTAACTCCTGCACCCCTGCAGCTACTGTGCCTGCCACGCAGCAGGCATTCAACAGGGTCTCTCCTAGAGAAGCTCAACTCTGTAAGTCGCGTTACATGTTATTGGCAAAACTGGAATTAGAATTGGAGTCTCCTGACTTGATCCAATATTCTTCTGTTCTGTAAATTGAGGAGCCAGCCATGACCAAAATGATATAACCCTATGTGCCAAGAGCAGGGACAGGCTCTGTGGAGAAGATGAAGGTAAGCATGACACTGATTCCACCTCTTACAATCTTATGGTTTAGTAAGAAGGATGAGACACAGCAAAAATTCCCTATTCCTGCTCCCCTACACTGACCACAACCCCTTGCCCCCATCATGCCTTCTGCATGTGACAGCAACCCCCAGCCCCTTGGACAGGAGCTCTGGGGTTGCTGCCACACATGGAAGGCAAGATGCTGGTGGACCACTCAGTGTGCTCCAGCACTGTGCTTGTGTTATTTAATTCTCACAAAAGTTCCGGCTAGGCATGGTGTCTCACACCTGTAATCCCAACACTTTGGGACGCCGAGGCAGGCAGATCACTTGAGGTCAGGATTTCAAGACCAGCCTGGCCAACATGGTGAAACCCTGTCTCTACTAAAACTACAAAAAAAAAAAAAAATTAGCTGGGGGTAGTGGGGTGGTGAGCACCTGTTATCCCAGCTGCTTGGGAGGCTGAGGCAGGAGAATCACTTGAACTTGGAAGGTGGAGGTTGCAGTGAGCCAAGATTGCACCACTGCACTCCAGCCTGGGTGACACAGCAAGAACTTTGTCTCAAAGAAAAAAAACAAAACCAAAAAACGAAAAACACAAAAGACTTCTGTCAAGTGCATATCATTATCCTCATCCTACAAATGAGGAAGGAAGCACAGAGGTCCAGGGTCAAACAGCCGGTACGTTACTCAATGAAGCCAAGACTGGGCACACAACCAAGGGATGAAGTCAGAGTTAAAGACCCTCCCACCTGCCTAATAAGGTTATGTTGGAATGGAAAGAACTGGAACAAAGGAGAGAGTACATATTGTTTTGTCTCCCTATACCTTCTCCCTTGTGAGGAGCAGATGTCAAAAATTGTTGGGGGGAGATGAGCCATTTGAGCCTTTTGGGAATAACTGCTTTTAGTTAGTTTGGTTGCAGTTTTGGGGGTGGTCGAAATGATTTGGTGTCTGGGAAGTCT